CCTCAGGGTCACACCTGACCCCAAGACGGGCTTCTGAGCCATCACCAAAACAGCCTATTTCCAACAACATAACAGGGCTCCACTATGTTTCTATTTCAGCTCATCTGCTGCTGCAACCTTCACTCATAACATTGTTAGCTTTAGCCTTGACAATTCCGATGTGTTCCTAACTGGTCTTCCAAATCTTGCTCTCTGTAAACTTGGTCATCCAAAATTCTGCAGACTATATCCTTCTTGCAGTAAACCCCATTCTCCTATCATCCATCCACTAGCTGTCCTACTTTGGCTTTGGGTAAGTAATGTCTTAATTTTAAAAGTCTCACACAAATTTCAAAACTCTCCAAGGCCTTGCCCTTCCCTATCTACATCAACCTCTCCATCCCACAGCCCCTTTGCAGACACCTTTGCTTTGCTAACTGAACATCTGATTTTAACAGCTCAACACTGACAGCTGTGCTTTCAGGTGCCTAGGTCCTAAGGATTAGACTACCCTTCCAGACACACCCTAAAATCTCTTTTGTTCAGCTGACCTGATATCTCCCTATGTGGTTCAGTGTATTAAATGGTTTATAATGGTCTTCTGAAACGTGTTGGGACTTTGTTGATTAGTGGTGCAACATAAATTTAAGTTGCTGCCGCTGCTGCTATATCTTTTGCCTACGGTATGGCCTTTTGTACACTGGGGAGATCAAGCACAGATTAGGGGACTGCTCCTTGAAACATCTTTGCTCAGTCTACAAGCCTGATCCTTAAACTCCAGTCGCCAGTCACTTTAAGTCTGTCTCATTCCTACTGTGACTTCTCCAACATTATTCTTTTACATTGTCTAATGCACTTCAAATGTAAGCTGAAGGAATAGCACTGCACCTGCCTGACACTTGATAGCCTTCTGGCCTCAAATTTGATTTCTACTATTTAGACTGTACCTGCTTCTACCATACGTGCTTACAGCAGCTGTCAACAATGCTTCAACTATGTTGTAATCTCTCCAGTCCAGAATGCTTGGAAGATAGGGGATTTCCTGAATTATGGAACAACATTAGAATGCCTAATTACAAGTGGGAGAACTGGAAAATACCATAGGTAAATACATTTGTGAAACATGAGAGTGGGAAATCATTATAATGTCGCAATGAAAATGGTTAAGCATATCCCAAAACTATACTTCTATGCTTCCCAGAGCACTGTACAAAATTATGCCGATGGTGCCAGGGAAAAACATTAAAGTATTAAAAATCCTGGCTGGAGATACCAAGCATGGAATGGAAATAGGGATAATTGGTGATTCTAAAGCAGAACAAGATGATAAGCAAACCCTCCCCATCTCCATTGATCTTGGCTGAGAGAGACCTGGGCAATTACGGCTGTTGGGCTTCTACATCTCCCTGAAACAGATGTGAGGTGGAAGTCAGTTGATGGACATACGGTGGGAAATCAACAATGCTTCTCTGCTCAGGCTCAAGAGTAATTGTTATTTGTTAACCCGGATCTTCGAACTTAAAGATGATCCTCACTTGACTCAGGCACATTAATGAGGTATGAGTCAGTATGTTGCAAGGTGATTTTAACCTGGTTTCAGGAAGGCAAGATAAATAATTATCCCTGCTGTTTTTGTGGGGCAACAAATAGAAAACTGATGGATACTGAGCCCAAGCCTTCTTGATTTGTTGCATTACCCTAATGGTAAAGTACTGAATCCATTAATTGCTTTGGTTCGATCCAAAAAAAAAAAAAGCCAAGATAACTGGGGCTTCCAAATAATAGACTTCCAGACTAGCGAGGTTAAATTGTGTTACCATTTACCCCTCCTTTAGACTAAGCACTTGTTACTTAATTCGTCCCAATTATCATCCCCTTTCACCTGGAATCATAAATATCTTCTGTCACTATATTTCTCCCGCCAACCTGATCACAGCCCTTTCTTCTTGCTTTTCCATTCTCCAACCTGATTCTTCCCTACATCTGCATTTGCTTAAAACTAATTACATCTTCTTAACAATTTGATTATTTCCTGCTCCAATGACAGGTCTCAATCTGAAACACTTGGCTGGATTTTCTGAAGAGTGGCCAATGCACTCAGAGTGCTTGTTCTTTTAGGTTAAGAAAGAGCTCCACTTTTCTGACACGAGCTTCCAATCAGGGCTCTTCAGAAACATGGAGCCACACTTTTAATCTGATGGGTCCACTGCAGTTGGGGAAAGCAAACCATGCTCCCTTTCTCATAGCAATCAGTAGCTGGATTTTGTGATTTAAATGCCCAGCAAAACAGACAACCCCTTTAGCAGCTCCTGTGAAAAAGTTGTGAAATGTCTAGTACATAAGGTAAGTAAGAGGTTGGGAGGCAGGAGGGTAGGATGTCAGATAGGTAGAGTGCCAGAGTGTAAGGTGGGAAGGGGCCAAGTAAGAGACAGAATGTTTAGGGTAGGTTGGAGTTGGTTCCAGCAGGGTGGATGTGGTTTGGGTTTATGAGGGTGGGGCTGTCAGGTCCACAGGGACATGAGGTCACAAGGGTGTAGGAGGCGTGATGGGTTAGAGTGGGGGCGATGAGGAAGCGTTAAGTTTCTGGGAATGATGATCACCAAAAGTCTGTCCTGGTCCACCCATGTTGACACCAGTGTCAAGAAAGCACAACAATGTCCCTACTTCCTCAAGAGGCTAAGGAAATTTGGCAAGTCCACAAAGACTCACCAAGTTTTTTAGATGCACAACAGAAAGCATCCTATCTGGATGCATCACAGTGTGGTGTGGCAACTGCTCTTCCCAAGACCGCGAGAACCTACAGAGAGTTGTGAACACAGCCCAGTCCACCATGCAAACCAGTGTTCCACTAACTCAGTCTAAACTTCCCACTGCCTCAGGGAAGCAACCAATATAATCAATGACTTCTCCCACCCCAGTTATACTCTCTTCCACCCTCTTCTGTCAGGCAGAAGATATAAAAGTTTCAGTACATGTACAAACAGCTTCAACCCTGCTGTTCTCAGACTTTTGAACAGACCTCTCAAATGTTAATGGCGATGTTGATCTCTCTCTGCAGCTGTAACATTGTACTCTGCACTCTGTTCTGCTACGCTGATGCAGTTTGTATGGTACAATCTGCCTATATGGAATGCAAAACAACACTTTTCACTATATCTAGGTGCTGTAATAACAATAAATCAAACTCAAAGTGGGTATCAGGTCAGGGTCTTAGAGGGTTACTTTGGTGTGTATGGAGTTGTACGGTCAGTTTAATAATTACTCAAGCATTAGACTAAGTGTTTGATAACTTAGCTATTTAACCGTGTAACCCTCCAAGTTCTCCAATTTAAATGGATACTTTTGTCGAGTTCTAGGCAGAGGGGCAATCTTTAAGTTCCAAGTCAATTCCCTTGAAGCCTGCCATGTTGCGGATTCCACAGGGTCTAGATTTGCAATTCTCACCTACATTGCCAAATCACCATCTAGCCATCAAAAAATCCAGGGCATTAACTCTATTCCTCCACCTACAGATTGTCCCTGTCCTGCTCAGTGTTAGTAGTATTTTGTGTTTTCATTACAGATATCCAGCATTTGATCTATCTTATTAATGAGGCCTTGCACTTCTTTACACTTCAGAATTATTTACTATGTCTTCCATTTTATTATCTACTGCAAATTTTGACACAATGTTCTATAGCCCTACATTCAAATCATTCATGCAACTTCACTGGCATAAAATCATCTGGTTCACTTATGTCTTTTAGGCAAGAAAGACATCCTTATTTGGTCTCGTCTACGTGACTTCAGACCTATAGCAACTGTCCTCTGAAAAGGTCACACAAGCCATTCAGTTCAAGGGCAATAAGGAAAGAGGCTTCAAACGTGAGCTTGTCAGCACTACAAAAAAAATCTAATCACTGAGAAATCACCCTGAACTGTCATTCTTTCTCCCTTTTATTCAACCTCACAACTGCATACCAATCAATCTTCTCTCAGTTTCTGTTGTACTTTGTCAAAGCTTCCTAAAATACAACTGTTCCACATTGCAGCATTTCCTCCAAACACTAAAGCTCCAGCTCCATGGGCTCCACCATCTTTACATTTGCAGGTTCGACGTTCCTTTATAAAATCCCTCAGTTGGTTACTTTCTTGTCATCTAAGTGTTTACAAATTAATTTTGAATTGAAGAATTCCAGATTTTCCCCAACTGTAAATGTTACAGTAGGCTATAGTGTTAGTCAACCTATTTAAAAATGAGAATTATATTCACAAGGTTCCAATCCACTCAGGAATCCGGATTCTAGCTGGACAAAGATTAAATGCGAAATACTTTGCATCTGGCAAATGCCCTCAAGAAGATATCAAGAGGCAAATTGTGAAGCCGTGACTTCAAATTAGAACAGAGAAGACAAATTATTTGACAATCATCTTTAAAATTTCTTTTCCGGCAATCTTTATAGCAACTGCCACCTAAAGGTCAAACCTGACTCAGTGCAAGCAAGAGGCATAATTTCTCATTAAAAAAATCCCAGCTCCATTTGTTTTAATAGCTGTGCATGTTCCTACTTGAGAATAAAAGTGAACTGCTGTAATTTCAGTAGGTTGGCCCTCTGCAGTCATCCAAATTCTCTATGAGTGAATACATATACAGTCATAAAAATACTGGAGAAAATTAATATTCAGTGACTGGAGTAAAAATGTTATGGTGACTTATGACAAATCACACTTGAAACAATTTTTCTCAAAACATATAACCTTTTGAAAACAGCAGTCAGAGATGTTGGAATAAGTGCAAGTGGAATCAACTGACGATCGAAGAAAAGCAAAGATAGACATTCTGGTCTGTCACTATTGTTGATTCAATGATAGCTCCAGCATGGTAGCAATGTGATGGCAGTTTGAATATCCCAATATCAATTAGATATCAACCCAAATAAGGTAGTCGCTTTGGTACTTATTGTTCTTTCAGCTAAGGTCCTTAAATCAGAGAGAGATATTATTATAAGAAACAAAAGACACCAAAAAAATGTCTGACTTACTAACAAAGCTTTGAGGTCCAGCATCCATTCCTTTTTGAAGATAACCATGGCAGCCATCCCACAGAAAGTATAGCCACCATGGGCTTCCATTCCAGGTACACCACCAATCCCACCCTCCCAATTCTGACATCTGTAAAAGAAAACACAATGATCACTGTTCTACAAAGGTCAAAAGCAATTTTGCACTTCCCCTCTGTGCTGTTCCCTTCTGTAGGAGATGATACGCTACAAGGCCAAATTTGATTTTCTGTTTTGACATAGCTTAAATCTTTACCAGTGATTTTTCAGACTTTTGCCTCGACATGAAATGGTCAGTTTCAAACACTGAATCCTGAACATGATCCAAAATCCTGTGTACATTTAAAAGAAAACACCGCCTCTCAAAATAAGTTTCTTGAATATATGCACACTTAGTGATCATACTTTTGAAACACTGCCAAAAGCTTAAAATTTGTAATTGCCAGATTTGCATTTTGCTTTATCTAGTAACATGAACAAATTTAAAAGTCAGATCTAAAAATGCTTGTGAATTCCCAGAGTAAATAAACCTATAGCACAGTAGTTTAGGGAGGAGGCACATAACTCCCTTGTGACAGCAACTTCCTTACTTCCTGTACACTGCAGTTTTGGAGGGATCACCTGAATAATTATTGAAAGCAACAGTGGGTAGAAAGAATATTCTCTCTCAAAAGAGTTTATCTAATCAATTTTTAGAAATGATACTCAAAACATATTAATTGAACATTTTCAGCATTTTGGCTAAATAACATTTGATTAAGTGAACAGGTGAACCAATTCCAATTATAATCTCAACTGTGTTTACAAAGGTTCTGCACCTTTACTGGGTTATTTGCAACAGACATGAAGAGGAGAGTTGGAAAGAAGAATTTTCTTCACAGCAATTGAACTGCGGTTCCTGCTGTGCTCACCTAGTATGGGATGCAATTAAGCAGACTGCCCAACCACCCATCTAAATAGGATGTGGAGGTATCTAATAAATAGTGCAATTAAGTAAAAGGATGCAACATATATGATCAGTGCGAATATACCCTTGCACATTACTTGATTATTCACATAAGCAATGTATTCCAAGCATCAATGTTAATGCACAACTTCTGAAAACAATTGAGTTGTCTATTGTTTTGTCTCATTTCATAAATACTGACCTTAACACCCACTCAGGTGTCCCCTCAAACAATGTTGGTGTGACGATGTTTGTTAAGGAGGCAACAGATGCCGCACAGTAGGCACTCCTAGAAAATAGAACAGTGAATTTGCTTCCTGCATCATTTAGTGAAAAGTGTTTGAAATCAGTGGGGAACATTCCAAAATAATGAATTTGTAATTTTTAATCTTCGTATCACTGATGTTAATAATTTATCAAAAAATGGAGTTCAAGGCTTTGAACAATGTTTCTCCTTGCAAATAAGTAATTTCAAATGCTGTAGTTTTAATCAGGAAACACAAGAACATTAAAGCTAAGCATCCTGTACTCTTAACAGCTTGATTTGCTTCCGCTACATTGTCAATCTCGCCAGTCCTTGCACAGCAGCCAAGACCGCAGCATTAATTATACACAAAAATATATTTATTGAGAAAAATGCAAATTTTAGATCAATTTTATTACTGTAATGCAACAGACGCTTTCAAATTTTGCATGAATTATTGCATTCACCAAAACATCAGCGTAACATCAGTGACATGTAGATCAAAATTACTCCAGCCCTGTTCCAGTCACGTAACTCAATCCCAAAGATGCAAGACCACAGTCCGTCAAACAGTGGAAAATGGTAGCTTTCAAAAGATATCCTTAAAGCCTCCTTGCAAAATTACAAATATGGCTAGCTGGTTTGCAGTGTGAACCGAACTGATTTCTTTAATCAGGGTTTCAGCAAGACAAATTCATTATACATAAATCACAGATAACTCTAGGCTTTGACATGAAAGGACAGAATTGTAGAGACTGTAACGAGGTCAGTCAGGTAAACCTCAGAATAGGAGTGCCCTGATTGGGGCTGTTAATCTGGTCCAATCAGGGAGCCCTGGCTGATAGATAAGAACAGGAGTGTCAGACATCCCGTCAGTCAGAGCTGGCTCAGAGGGCTAGATCAGTGTCAAGGACTCTCCACATGTAAATAAGGGGTGACTTGGTGATGGGATCCCAGCCTCTGAAATTATTTCAAGAATGTTATTGCTTGCCATAGCCTCCTTGTGATTCTTTTTGGAAACTGTATGATCACGATTTCTCACTTAGAATGTTAGCTGGTTTTCTCTATAATTTTCTTTTTCAATTCAACTTTTCTAGAAAGAAACTGAGCTTTAGAATATTATTTAGATCCACTGTTATGATAGAATAATTGGGTATTCCAAAGACAAAAATGCTTTGCAGTGGTGAAGTGATCTTCAAAGTTTGATATAACATTAAAAAAAACCTAAATTACAAATCAAATCAGAAACGTGGTATATATAGTGGCTTATGAAAACACAGATTTTGATGAGCGACTGCAGGCAGTTTCCCAATTGGAAAATAATCCACATTCACAGGTGCAGATCAAGTTTAAAGGCAATTTCAGGTGTCAACATTGCCTTTAATATTGATTTCAGTCAGGAGGTAGCTACTGTTTTGGAACCTATTGATACTTAGTTTGGAAGTTACATCCACCAGGTAAAGGAGCCAACCAGATACCGTTTGTTTATTGATTGACGGCTCCATGCTGAAGTAAAGAAATGTATTCTGCACATTTTACCTTATTCTATTGCTCTGAAAGCCAAAGCTGCATGAACTGACAGCTGGTGTCATTTGTTCATTGAGAATGTTTCATCCTGGTAATTTAAAATTATGTACTTAGTGTTTCACTCGATTTCAGAAGGAACAGCAACTACATTAGAGGAGCGATTTTTTTTTCATATTTAGAGGGAATATCTGGTGCAGCTGAAAATCCTAACCACCCTGAAATGGATCGAGTGTTTTATCTTGTTTCACAATTCAGGAGAAAGAAAACTAAACACTGAATAAAAAAGCAAAGCAACCAAACATCAATACATGCCTTAGATGCACACCTCCATGATTCTTCAAGTAGAAAAGAAACATAACAGCTGGAAAGCCCCTTATCCAAAAAATTAAAAGGTGTCAAGCAAATGCTTGAAGTTAGGTACCAAAATAAAACATTGTTCTAATGTGGCCAATATGGTGCACTGATAATCCAAAGACTCAGTGATACAGATTACTACTCCAGATTCTCCACGATTGAGATTGTTCACTGCTATCAATGAGAGGTAATAGAAGCCTGGAGAATGCAGGAACGGTCAAGAGGCAAAATACACATGATTTGCCATGGAGAACTAGGGACAAGCAAGATCAGATTTACCCAGGATCTTCTTTTCCCTGAGAGATAACTTTCAAGTAATCAGCAATGGTTCCATCAAAGTAGCCTCCGCAATAATATATATAGGTATTTCTGCCTGCTCCGGATTAAATCGACTAAAAAGCCATTAAGTTTAGATTGATAATTTCCCCATGCAAAAGTACTGGCTTTGAAATTCAGAACGTACTTAAATAATCCTCTTCTCTCATCTCAGATTTCTACATCACTAAACCCGTTCTATAAGCAAGACAGACTAGAGGTGGTGACAAATTCAATCCGGAGTGAGCCCAGGATCTTCCATCAATTCTGGATCTTGTGAGGTCGTGTGGTCACAGGTCAATCCTCCAGCTGACTTCCAAATACCATTCCCCACACTCATGAATAGGTAACCAGTGTTGAACACCACGGAAGCAGCATTAACGATAGCACAGTCACAGAATATACTTAGGGAGCAGCACTACTGACCTAGTTGGCTGAGTCCTGAAAGATATATCTGCTGGACCAGGGACAGGTGAGGAGACAGCCATTGAGAGGGTAAAATCTACTTGACCTCACGACTCTCCATAATGGTATTAGAAGTAGTGACCACTGCCCAATCCTTTTGGAGGAATTTCACTTTGAAGACTCCACCTTTTCTCTTATCCAAATAGAACAGACTCAGAAGGATCTGGCAGCTTAAAATTGAAAATCCAAGAGATGCAACGTGTGACCAGCAACATAATTGCACTCTACCACAATCTGGCCATCAAACCAGGGGAACCAGAATTGGTTCCACGATGCGTCAAACAGTATAAGTATACACTGTGCAGCACGAGGTAAAGAGCAGGAGCAACATGCTATAGTCAGAACCCAGTGATCCCACTACAAACGGATTTATCAAAATTCTGCAGTCCAGTCATAAACAGTTGCAAATGGTGGAAAACTATTAAAACCAAAAGAGATGGGCGAAGCTCATGATGCACTCCAAAAGATAACACTGAAATGTTCACAACTACCTTCAACCAGCCGTGTCAAATGGAGCATCCCTGCGGCCTACTCTTGAGTTCCTCCCTGCAGGTATCAGTCTTGAACCAAGTGGTTTCACTCCACACGTATTCAGAAATAGGTGAATACACTGGATGCAGCAAAGGGCTTCCTGGGTATGTCTTTGCCACAGAAAAGTAGGGCATTTACTGTCCCAGCAGCACTGTAATGGAAGATGTTCCTGACTATGCGATCAAGTGGCATTGATACATAACCTGTTCATCCATGTTTCAGAAACAAAAAATCAGAAATGCTGGCAAAACTCAGCAGGTCTGACAGCATCTGTGGGATGAAAGCAAAGTTAATATTTCCAGTCCAGTAGACCACCGAGGTCCGGACCACATTACAGACCTCGTACAAACATGGACGAAGAGCTAAATTCCTAAGGTGAGGCAAGAGTCATCGTGCTTAATATCAAGGCAAAATTTGACCTGCATCAAGGTATCCGACTAAAACTAAAGTCAATGGGAATCAGAGAAAATCCCTTCTACGGCTAGAATCATACTAGAAAGATGGTTGTAATGTTTGAAGGCCAATCACCTGCGTCCCTAGATACCACTGCAAAAGTATCAGTCTCCTCAGCTGCTTCATTGATGACCTTCCCTCCATCATAAGGTCAGAAACAGGATGCCCGTCACCATTTGGAGTGTACAGTTTCTCAGATAATAATCAGTAAGAGCTCACATGCAGCAAGTTCCAGACAATAACTGGGTTTGGGCTGATAGTTGTTCAGTGATATTTGTGCTAGGCAGTTACCACCTCAGACCAAAGAGGGAGTCCAATTACTTCCCTCTGACATTTAACAGCATTAGAATTGTTGAATCCCTCATCGTGAGTAACCCAAGGTCACCATTGACCAGAAATTTAACTGGACCATTCATATAAATAAATACAGCAAATACAAGAACAAGGTTCCTCAGAGCTTCTCTATCACCTACAAGGACACGTTAAGGTGGGAGATGAAATACTCTCCACTCAGCTGAGTGTAGGCTCCAACAACACTTAGGGAATTCCACAATACCCCAACAATGTAATCTACTTGACAATATTTCACCACCCTAAGCATTTACTCCCACCAGTACCAGCATAACGTTGTTGCTGCACGCAAGACCCAGAAGGTTTTCCAAAACAGTGATCTCTAGCAACAAGTAGGGCAAGCATAGTTGATGCATGTAAAAACACCAGTTACAAATTTCATTCCAAGTCTCACAAAGCTCTGATTTTGAAATAGATTATCATTTTATTGCAAAATACTCATTGAAGATTTATCCAGACTATATGAATTGCAAAAGTTCACCACTGCCTTAAGGGCAATTCGCAATCGATTATGAGTGACACCCTTTTCCCATCAATGAATAAATTTTAAAAACATACAACTATGACATAAATCAAACTACGTCAGCTATTCCATTCAATATTTGATTAAAGTATTGGCTCCCCCAAGAATTCAATATGATGTTTTATTTCACCAGGCAGTGTGATTTTTTATTTAAAGAACTTTAAATAAACTACTTATTTTACATTTTAATTTAAATGGCGTATTGGAAATAATTGACAGTGGAAGATACAAAGAATACAGAATTAGATGATGTCCCAATTTTTGAACAAAAGGCATCAAGTCATTTGCCCATTTTACTATAAATGAATTGCACAATTTTGCAATGAGTATATTAAGTCCAGTTTGAAAGTATTCACCATTCGTTCTCAATGTCCATTGCCTCAGCAAATAATTTTAGGTAACGTATAAACATGGTTCTCGATGCTTACTTCCTTTCTTCCAATAATAAGCAACTCATAATCAAAACTCACCTAACATCGACTTCTCCACTCACATGCATAGTAAAGGAACCATTAGGCTGTTTCACAGAGTATAGAAATTCTAGCAGCTTTTCCCTTCAATGAGAACAAAGTAGTACCAATCAGAGCAAGTTCAGCCTCAATTAAAACCTACAATATTTAGAATTTAAGTTATCAACTGCTTTGAATGATCATCATAACGTAGATTTTTGGTCACAATTACAGATTGCATATTAAGTGATACTTACTTTGGACACAAGGTGCAATGATTAAAACAGAAATTAACAAAACCTTGCTGCAAAATTGCCCATGCTCAATCACCCGTAAAGATGCTGTACATCTTTATGGGTGGTGAATTGGAAGTCAGCTTTTGCCTGGGGTTGTGGTACTGGAATATTTAACCAATAAAAACAAGCATTGAAGGGGAGGGTGTTGTATACAAAAGTTCTGACTTGTTTTACAGTCCAATATCTCTCATACCACAAAACACATACATAAGCAGGGAACACGTACACAAGCTTCTTCCCTCTACCTACTTGTACTTCTTTAATAGGAACTTGAGTACATATGGTTATTGGAATGGGAGAAAGAGAGGGGGAAGATGGCTGGTGAACAATTTCACACACAAATTAGGTTAGGGACTCAACACAAAATATTTATCCTGTCAATTCATGGTGTTCCATAATTCATTGCGTGAGGTAGATCTTCACCTATAACCCATGATCATTGTGAAATAAGCCAAAAAAAAAGATTTATGAATCAAACTATAAACGATCACTTATAAAAGTTCACTATTTAAAATACAGCTCAAGCTACAGGAACATTAACCATGTGCACAGAAAGAGTGCAACCTCAACTCCACATAAAGTATATGTTGAATGAACATCATTTAGACACTAGGCTACAGCATTTCGTAATAGGTTTGAACAGGAAACTCAATCAGCCCATTGGGTATCTTCACTCGTTCATCAGGCAGTGGGTATTCCTGGTGTGCGCTAATTAGTTTCAAGAACTGGTTCAAGACATCTGAAAGCTGAACAAGCAGTTCCATTCAAAATCAAAGCTAGATGTTTTGCCAATGTTAAGATGTGCATCATTACTGTCTCTAAATCAACAAAACAGAAATTCAAATTTCAAACTGACCATACTTCTATAATAACATTGTATAGAATTTGTTTCACTACACATTTACTTGTCTATTACCTTAAATTATCAAACCACTGGGTATAACAATGGCTAAAAAAAACAGGCAAAACGGCAATGATCAGTGCTGAGACATTTGGAGAAAAGAACATGTTGTACTATGATCGTAAATGTTTCCTTCAGTGCCAATAAGGCCTCATCTACCATTTTTAACACAAAAGACAACTGGTGACTAAAAAGTAACATGTACATACAGACAAGTTGGGAACACATACAACAAATACAGTTTCCTTTTGATTTTTCCATTTCTGCATTTGAATCAAAAAGTAACAAAAACTGTCTGTTGCCATTTCATATTACAATGAGATAGTTTTAAATTTAATTGTCTCATATGATAAGGTGTAGAATATATTACAGTAAACAATTTATTATCCAGCACGTACAGGACCAGGAGTGTGCCGCTTGATCAAATATTCTGGATAATCAAGAGGTACGCCTAACAACAGTAAACCCTGACCAAATGAAGCTTCAAAACTTCAACATCCCTCAAAAACACACAAGTAATAGAAATGTAAATGTAATGCAGGGGGTACATACATCACTGTCATACTTTATTTACAGCATAAATAGTCGGACATCGTGGCAGATTGCGGCATCTGAAGTATGTAATTTTTGCTGGTTTATCAAGAGTGCTGATTGATAAGGTACTGGTTAAAAAAAGTTTGCTAAGCTATCATTTGGGAATTGGAGAGAAAGAGTAGCAAATGGTTTTTGTTTCAGTTCTAAAAGGGAACTGAATTCTTCTTTCCCAACATAAAGTCAGAAAGGCATTTGGAAAATTGACCCAAATACATAATTTCCAAGAAAGCACGCAATTTAGTAAGAATCTAGTCAGATACCTGTAATGTTAATTTTTTTTTTCTTTATTCATTCACAGGATGAGGGCATCGCTGGCCAGGCAGCATTTATTGACCATCCCTAATTACCCAGAGGGAGGTTAACAATCAACCACATTGCTGTGGGTCTGGAGTCACATGTAGGCCAGAACGGCAGTTTCCTTCCCTAATGGACATTAGTGAACCAGATGGGTTTTTCCCAACAATTGACAATGGATTCACAGTCATCATTAGATTCTTAATTCCAGATATTTTATTGAATTCAAATTCCACCATCTGCCATGGCAGGATTCGAACCTGTGTCCCCAGAACGTTATCTGCGTCTCTGGATTAACAGTCCAGCAATAATACCACTAGGCCATCGCCTCATTGATGCATGTACAGTATCTGACGTACACAGAAACATGTGATCAGTAGGTTCAAATAGTTTAGCTCGAATGAATCAGGTTCAGTTGCACCCTCGCTGAATAATTAAGTTTTCAATTCAGGAGAACAACTTTCATCCTACCAGAAGGGCTTTATTCGCTTTGTAGAAAGACCAATTTATGGAAGTTTGTACAGGATGTTGATGAGGCCTCTTCTGGAGTATTCTGTGCAGTTCTGATCACTGTTATAGGAAGGATATTATTAAAAAGTGGAGAGGGTTCTAAAAAGATCTACCAGGCTGTTGGCAGGAATGGAGGGTTTGAGTGATTAAAAAAAAAAAGACCGGCAAGGCTGGGACTTTTCTCATTCAGTGCAGAAGTGAAGTGGAGGGGTGACTTTATAGAGGTGTGACTTTATAGAGGTTTATGAAATCATGAGGGGCACACATAGGGTGAAAAACAAAGGCCTTTTCCCTAGGTGGGGGCATATTTTTAAGGTGAGAGGAGAAACATTTAAAAAGGACACGAGAGGCAACTTCTTTTTTTTTTTTTACACACAATGAGTGGTTCGTGTGGAATGAACTGCCAGAGGAAGTGGTGATTGCAGGTACAGTTACAACATTTAAAAGGCATTTGGATAAGTACTTGAATAGGAAAGATTTGGAGGGATATGGGCTAAACGCAGGTAGGTGGGACTAGTTTAGTTTAGGACCATGGTCAGCACGGACAGGTTGGACTGAAGAGTCATAACATGGAAACAGACCCTACGTCTTTTAGCTGTCAGAACTGAAAAGGAATCCAAGCTCTCTGTTCCGAGAGGTGATAAAGGTCATCGAAACTGGAAAGAGGTTTTGAAACTGTTTCAGCTGTCCAAGGAGGAAAAACTGATGAGCCAATTAAGTAGCAAGTTAAAGAGTTAAGTGTAGACGCTCTTGAATTGAGCATCTGAAGAGGATACTGTTGAGAATCCATGCTTTTGTTGTTTAAGTTAAGATCTTTTCAAACTTAAATATAGCTTTGTTAAATATAGCTTGGTTTTCTTTCCTTTCACGAGACAAATGTGTGAAAACAAAAACCTCAGCAACCATGCGTCAATATATTCACTGAGACAAATGTAAAAATAAAACTTATAATCCACAAAGCCAAATTTCATTCTGGGAATTGACTCATCCAGAATTCCAATAGTATCATAACCAAAACTGGTTCTTGTCGAGAGGTCCAAGAAGTGTGACTGACCTCTGCAGATACACATCCAGTTGATCAGAAAAGAGGATTGTTTGGAAATTGCACAAACAAACAAACAAACAAACAAACAGCTCATCCTTTTTCAGGAAGGTTAAATCTACTGTTGAAGGATGCTGGAGTTATGGATAATAAGTATGACTCCCTTGTAGAAAAGATCACATTGAAATATGATCCATGTATTAAATATCGTAAGATATCACCACACCCATTGTAGGTGTTGCTTTAGACAAGGAATTTAATGAAGTAGGAACCACGGGTCTGATGACATGGGACAAAGATTAGAATGCTTATTTATCACATTTTGTGTATATGAGCAACCAAGTTTAGCATATCCATGGTAATGAACAACAAGGACAGGCAGGCTATACTGCAGAGTGTCATGGAAAAGTGGGCCAGCAGAGACCTTGGGTCACCAATATTTTTTAATAGATAATGGAGGTGAATTTGCAAATGACGACCGTTGGGACATTTGTGATATTGTAAGTATTATCACAATGCACACCGTTGCAGAAAGTCCATGCAGCAATGGCTTGTGCCAAGACTGTCGTCTTATTTTTGTGCTTTTTAAAACTGTAGACTGAAATGAAAAACAACTAACTATTTTGAAACCCAGGAACTTACAAGATGGCTTGGAAGTAAGGAATTTGATACCTTTCCTGAACCCTGTCTGTGTAGCTGTGGATGAACTGAAGCCAAGGGGTTGTTTACAAGTGAAGTTGATTGGCGTGGATTAGTGGCCAATTATCAATGACAAAGCCCTGCTGCTTGCGAACAAATGAGCGATTGGTTGTCAGGCAGCTTGGGCTATAAGCAAGACAGAGAGAAGCTAGATCAGACCCAAAGTGAAACCAAGCAGGTCTGCAGTAGTCAAAAAATAAACTCTCATTCTCTGTTCTCTTCAGTAAGCCACTTGAATCCTGAAGAAATCTGCTTTGTATTTCCTTCAGTGGATGCCGCAGGTTGTGACTTTGAATTGAATAAGTGAGGCCTTTCATAGGTGAACCAGCCAACCTGTGCCTCTTGTGAACTAGTGGAAGCATTTGGAAGAAGGTGGAGGAGAAACTTTCAGATTAGCAAAATTCAAGCCAACAAATCTTGTGTACAAGATGTGGACTGGTTGTCCCTCCATTCACATGTTTTCTTTTCCTGTTCGTCTGCCTGTGTGCAAGAGGGAGTTACATACAGCATTGATTTATATAGACTACTTAAATTAGTTGAATTGCTTACTTGTAGCTAGACTCTAACGCTAAGTTCAGAAACCTCGTCTGTGTCTATCAACCAAGATCTGAAATCAGGTTGCTTGGGAACCTGTTTTTTTTTGAGACTTTAATTTTTGTGATAACTCCAGAATAGCAAGGCTTGACCTCCAGAAAGCTATACATTTGAAGGAGGGTCCGGAACCGAAACGTCAACTTTCCTGCTCCTCTGATGGTGCCTGGCCTGCTGTGCCCCTCCAGCTCCACACTGCGTTAAACTGAAGATTGCACATACTTCACATACAAATTCCCTGCTGTCTCTTGATATACAACACATACTGCACAAAATTTACATTTAATGTTCTTCTTTTTGAAACACCATAACAATCCAACTCTACTGTTAGTACTGCCTTTTGTACTATTCTTTGATTGCTATGATCACTTACCTGTTAATAACATTATATGCCTCTTCTGTGCCTATAATGCAGAGTGCATTCACTGCTGCATACGTCGGGGCAAGATGTGGCTCTTGGCCTGGTCCACCAGCAAATCCACCATTTGGACTCTGACATCGTGATAGGAATTGACAAATACTATTTAGAAAGGATCAAAAATGTAATTGTTAAATTTGTTGTACAGTTTATGATTTTTAATATTTTGCAATACAGCACAATGATTGATCAAAGGAAGAATATCAGCTGAAAAAGGAATTATTTATACATTTCCTCCACAAATACCTGAACATTGGCTGCCCTCAGTTCCCAAATTGGCTTCATTGTCTGGAATTGCCTTCACAGCCTCAACACAATAACCCAAATTCAAAACTACGCCAATATTGCATCAGGTTTGCAGATACTGACATGGTCAGTATCATTACTTAGAACACAGCGCAGCCTAAAATGGACATACGTCAGTAGAAACAATCCTGGCCCTAAAAACAAAAACACATTGAACTGCTGGAAAAAAAAACTGTGCATGAAAATTTACGTTTCAATTCATTTTACAGCGCATTCAGATTTTTATAAATAAGCAAATAAACTGCTGATTTTTGCTGTCTGTGTTGATTGAACAGGGTTTACCACTGACTCTGAGCACCATTATGAAGCTCAGACCATCAGCAGTCTCTGAAGACTCTGACTGATACACGTATTACATACTGTTCAAGCACAAGACCAAAATTAGGACTAGGCAACGTACTTTTGAGTTTAAGTTCAAGTGGAGGTCTCTATTCTGAGCATGTAATGTAATGTGATCTTAATCTTATGGCACCTCTAATGAGGCACAATAGGATGGTATATTTAAGTGCTGGAAAAAAAAAATCATTGCACAACCAACAATACCTTTGTATCAGCTCTAGCAGCTACCATGTAGTTAAGTTCTCTAACAACAGCCTCATTAATTCCCTCAAGTCAGTACCCAGAAATATCAGCACCAACTTTGTGAAATATTGTTCTTCGCCTTTGTTTTAACATAGAAGGGATATGAATTGCCAGTTTCAGTCTAGATTACTTATGATAATGTTAGAGTACAAATTTGGGTCATGCAAGCTACAGACATCAAACAAAACCAAACAATGGGCATTCAACAATAAAAATGATCTTAAGTTTTGTATACGCACTCTGAAGCCATACAATCATCAATTGGTTCTCCTAGCAACTCCAAGCTGTGTAAGATCCAGTAACAAAGCCAGGGCCGGCTGGCATCCAAACACTGGAACCAAAACAGAAACATTATTTATAACCAAATTATAAAAGAAATACAGCTGAAAAACCATTGATGAAAGATCAAACAGATAGAAACATTAAATCAAATTAATGTGAGCTGCATTACAGCATGCGTCTGAAAACAACCTTTTAACCAGAGGGTCACCATGCTTTTGGCAAGGGGAGAGATTGAGAGGGAAAATCCTTCATGGTAACCTCAGCCAGGAACTGAATCCACACTGTTGGCATTACTCTGCATCATAAACTAGCCAACTGAGCTAACCAACTCCAGTTATTAACTACAGCATGATCATTGAGAAGATCTAAAAGCAAAGAAAATGCTCAGAAAGCAACAAGTGAACTTTAGATTGAGAAAGCATTTGACAAACAAATGCCACGAAACCATTTGTTGCAGGTTTTGAATTGGACCTACGTATGTCACTTAATTATGGCATTTTGGAGTTTTCACATAAACTGAAATTAATAACACACTAGTTTGGCCTCAGGTAAATATTGCATCCAATGCTAAGCATGATACTTTAAAGGAAGATGTGAGATCTGTGGAGAGGATGAAAATAAATTTACAAAATGATTTTACAGATAAGGTATGACAGTTGTGTACTTGGGTCAGCAAAGGGAGGATTATTCTCTCTAAGGAAGATTGAGAAGTTTAATACAAGTCTCCAAAATCATAAGGAATCCCATTAGAGTAGCTCAACATAAACTATTCCAGTGGCAGAAGGATCAAGAACCAGATGGCACTGTTTAAAGGGGCTGGCAAAACAAGTGCAGCCAACATTAGGAAATGCTATTTTATTCCATGAATGGCTAAAATCTGGTATCAACGTCCTGACAGTGTGGTGGAGGCAAATTCAATCATGGTTTTCAGAAGACAATTGGATAATTATTGAAAATAAAGAGAGATTTTGAGCAGCGGCACTGTTTCTGATTGAGGTAGAGGTAGAATGTTTTATTGAGAACTCTCCTCTGCTTCCCTCTGAACGCTGCTTTCTCACTTCCCAGCTTGTGCTTCAGCATAAGTGTGCAATAATATGCAACACCATACTTCCATTATTTCCACACCAGCAAAAGCAGCTGAAAAATATCTCATTTTGAAATTAAACGATTTGGCTTGTAAAAAAAAAAAGACATTAACAAGACAGGGGGCTTTGAGCAGCAAAAAGCATTATTACCTGGGAATTAACTAACTGACCTGCGCAGTCCAAAATGTGTGTCAATTCAACATTAAAGGTGACTAAACATCACAATCAACTCTCTGTCTGCTTCTGGTGTATGCACACCATTGCACCCCTCAGTCAGAAGTTGCTGCAAACATTGTAGCCAAAAATGTTTGTAAGGTTCTTAGACTAAAATGGGTACCATTTAGAATCCTCAAGAAATTAAAGCAATGGAAAGAATAAGCCATGCTTCGATTGGCACCTTTCAGAGTTCCATGAATACTGGATGATTACAGTGTCATTCTAACTTGGCAAAATCAGTCTGGTTTGTCTAACCTGTACAGCTGGGAAAAAACACTTAGAAGTATCCGAAAGGTTATACTGGTCGAGTCTTTCAGATCTGGCTAGCTAAAAACCAACATCATCTGAAAACTGGCCATCCTGTGATGGATCTTTTCTCATTTAAAACAGGCTGCACTGAAGTAGAGAAACGGAGGAGGCATGAAAGTGTTACTAAATCTAGTGCACAAGTGAATTAACGTCAACAGAGGTCAGTGGTGCTGACAATGTGGTAATGGGGTAAGAAGTCTGTGTTGCGACTAAAGAGGAACTCTACACAGGAGAGAGCATAATGGACTGAAAACCCCGTTTTCATCCTGGACTTCATGGTTGCATCCTGCCATCTTGTTGGATTCTGCTAATTTCCCATAACACTCAAACCCATCTCCTCAAATCACGCCTCGAGATACCTTAGCTACAGTTCAATGTGTTATCACCCACCTCCCGCACTACTAGTGAAAGCACTACATGAGCCAACATGTAGTGATTTAGCAGTAGTAGCACCATCCATGTGCCTAGTACTCCTGTAGTAAAGATGCGATACTTTGAACTATTTCAGATTGTTACTTTGACCTTCATCAGCTGTCACAAAACTGAACTTGCAACGTGGTGTGAATTCCCATCTGTAAAGTACACACTGATGCCACACAAAATGATGTTTTATGCTTCTGTTCCTTTTGAAAAATGCTTTTTGCATCTCACTCCACATCCTCAGTTAATAGTAATAAGTTAAAAAATATAATTCCTGTTGCATATACAGGTACTTTTAATTCACTCATAGGACATGGTATTTTATGAATTAAAAAGGCTCAAGTTGTGGTCAACATAACTCAATCCTGTCTTCAGCTCTTGGTCCCTCGACAGTGGATTACCTTTCTTAATTTGTGTTTGTTTTAAATAAAATGTTATGATTCCTTAATGATTCACTTATGTGTGTGAATGATATAGCACACCAGTTTTGACGACATCATGTAAAGGACTAAATGTTGCAAAGACAGATGGTATAGGAAGCAGTAAATATGGAAGCATAAAATTTCAATGAAGTGTTGATAGATTTATTGAATGGTTGTAACTGTGACAAATGGTTTTAAATGTGTGCAAGTACAAGATCATCTACTTTTGATTCAAAGAGGATAGAACACTATACTTTCTAAATGATCAATGCAAACAGTGGACATCCAAAATGGCTTGGGAGTCCAGGTACACAGATCATTAGTGCGTCATGGATAAGTACAGAAAATAATCAAAAAGGATGAATGTAACATTGGCCTTTATATCTGAAGAAATCAAAAAAAAAAGTGGGTAGAAATTACATTTCAACTGTACCAAACCCAATTAGACCACAGATATTGTGAGCAGTTCCAAGCATCTCACCTCATAGGAAGTGTGATGTACCCAGACTCCAAGGGTTAGTTTGAGGATAAATTTCACAAATTTGGTCAATAATCCCTGGAATTTGGGAGGTTGATGTACGGCTTGATCAAAGTTTAAGAAAACCGTGAATGTTTTTGTTCATTTGCCTATGGGATGCTGGCATTACTTGCAAGGTCATTACTTTTTGCCCATCCTAAATGCCCTTGAGAAGGTGGTGTGCTATGTCCGTGAACTGCTGGAGTCCTTGTAGTGCCATTACGGAGGAAGTTACAGGATTTTAACCCAGCATCAACGATGTAGTTCAATGTCAGGATAGTATGCAACTTAGAGGAACTGCTGGTCTTCCAAGAGGGACTTAATGATTGCTTCACATGTGGCAGCTGATGAAGGACCAAGAGTTTAACCACACATCCACAACTGTTCACACTTCAACTGAAAATCAGAAAAATAATCAACTCCATAAAGATGCCCAAGTGGGAATAATAACAGGAAGATAACAGGATGTTGGCACCACGGCATATAAATTGAGCATTTATCCTCTGATTTGTTACTGGGGGCAGGTATGATTTTATTATAATCATACTAATGTTATCAATAAGAAATTAAGTAGGACAAGCTTTCACGCAACCTGTTGAATCTCCAGAGATGTCTCTGTGAGGTGACTGCATTGAATCATAGAACGAAAGCACAGAAGGCAGCTTGACCCATTGTGTTTGCCCTAACTCTGAACAAGCTATCCTATTACATACAGACATATGAATCAGCAGAAATATGCCATTCAAGCCCCACCTCCTACCCAATCACTCCCCACCCCCAGCAGCCCACTTGACCATTCAGTAAGATCATGGCTGATCGAACCACAAATCCAGATTTCTGCCTGCCCCAGCAACTTTCAACACCCTTACTTAAATGTGAAGGAGAACAGGGCTACGCTAGACACTACTTTCAAATTACCGGTGTGATTGCTATTAGCTTTAATTTTTTTTTTGCAATTCTAATTTGAGATTAAATTTCCAGCTTGCAAAAGGAATTCAAAGGATATCGAGGCAAATGATCAGTCATATTTTTGTTGACTAGCAGAGTAGGCTTGACAGGCTGAGTGGCCTATTTCCATTTCTGTTTCCTGTGTTCTCCCTCTCAACTCAGCAAGTGCAATTTCCTTTTCCTTCAGAGAAAGGCACGCAAATGACCGATGTCCTTGTTTCAAATAATCACGGCAAAACTGAACATTATACCGAAACACTCAATAGCTTGGAATCTGCAGTTATAATGATGCCCAAATTGTAAGTTTTCATCGTTATCATGGATAAAACTAACAGTAACATCTGGCATCTACATCAGCAGTTAAATGCAAAAAAAAAGGAAATTGCTACATGTCACAACCCTGCTCCTCCATGGGATGTAATTGTGAAACCTTCAGAAAAACAAGGAAATCAGTAATTTGATGTAAACATTAATTTTATATGCTCTATACTTCCTGCATGACCCATTTAAAAATGTAAATCTTGTTGAATGAAGTGTAATATGGCCTCTAATGCTATTCTGAAACATGGTAACTAAACACCTTTTCTGGTAATAAGAAACAAATTTTTGAAGTCTGAAGTACAAACTTCATTAGTTAAAAAATACATTTTTTTTGAAAACATGCAAATACCTTTTTCTAAATTGATTAAGATATTTCAGCTTTCGGCTTGTACATTACAAGTGATTATAAAAAAGTCAGATGAGTTCTGACTGGGGTTATTAATATGGTCCAATCAGGGAGCCCTGTCTGACAGATAAACATAAGTGTCAGAAGTTCTGTTCACTCAAAGAGTTGGCTCTGAGGAAGTCAGTCCAATGTCAAGTTTTTTTGCACGGGTGCAAAAAAGGGTGATTTGGGGGGCAGAATACCAGCCTCTGCGGAGTTATTTCATATATCCTGATCTTTATTCTATTCTGTAAAAGTGAATGATGATCAGTGTCTTTCAATTCCGAGTTTGTGGACAGTGAGGATTCTTCAATCAAATTCAGCGCTGAGCCTACTTGAGGATTTCATTGCCTCTAGACACTGGAGATCCTTATAGATGGCAGATTAACAGTAACCTGACATCTTAAGCTAAAATCAACACCAAAGTGCCCACTAAATATTTTTATTCATTGCTGACCACAAAATCTAGACCAAAAAATAGGCACATTGAGTGCAAATAATAAAATCACATTCAATAAAACAATGCTCGCCACCAATTCAAAATAACCATCTACAAGATGGGCCATCCAAAATGGGAACATAAGTACGGAAACAATCTTCTAAACTTAAAATTTCTTTTCTGAAAGTTCCTGGAAAAAGCAAACATCACGACAGTCTCAGGGCATAAAACACACTCAAACACAAGTAAGGTAAAATATGCTTCACAAGCTGTCAAAATGGATTTTTTTTTTCCCCAGTGACACTTACTTGGCTACACATATACTGCATTTCAAAGTCAAAAGGAGACATGCTTGGAGATATATTGTGGTTATCGTATTTAAAATAAAAAAATTCCAAAGACAGATGGTTATTTACTTATAAGTTATTCCAACTTTGCGTGGAAACACATTAGGTAGTCACCCATCCAGTAAACCATCTGAAATTATGGGTAAAATTCACCAATACTCAAATATAAATGTCTGTGACCCTGCTCCTAAGTCGTCCATGAGACAGAAGGTGAAGTAGGCCACTCAGCTACTTAATGACCCAGCCTCAACAGCCCTCTGCAGTAAAGAATTCCACAGATTCACTACCCTCAGAAGAAATTCTTCCTCATCTCTGTCTTACACATGCGACCCCTTATTATGAGATACATTGCAATTAATTGTGGCCACGGCATTGATCCCTGTGGTACTTCATTGGTTACAGGTTGCCATCCTGAAAATGTTGCCCTTATCCCAACTGTCTTCTATTAGTTAGCCAATCCTCCATCCATGCTAGCACATTACCTCCAACACCATGGGCTCTACAAATTGTAGAATGTGTGGATTTTTCTGAAAATCCAAATATATTAGCCTAAGGGGGGGCGTCTATCTGCACTATCCATCTCTGTATTCCTCCACTGACTTAACGGAAATCAAATTTGAAGAGTATGCTGGTACCATCTTCCAAGTCAAAAGACGGAGGTTCAAACTCCGCACCAAACAGTGGCAAATGGAGACCAGATTTTAATTTTTTTTTATATTGATGAGCTACACAGTTGAAGGGCACCACTTAACTAAGTGCCAACAGCACTTGCATGGGGCTCAAGGCACAGTGGTAGTGTCTGTACCTCAGTCGGGAAGATTGGATTCAGGTCCCACCTGTACATAGGAGTGAATAACATCTCTGAACAGGGTAATTGAAAAATATCTCCAACAGCACTGATAAATAGGGGAACACTGTGGGTTGCAGACAGAATGTAATGTCTCTATCTAATGCCTCATTTTGTAAATAAACAGATTATCAAAGAAAAGGATTACTGTCCAGCTTCATTCTTCACTATCCAGCTTGAGATCCAATTAACGCTGTAGCCGAGTCTCTGAATTCTGGATTAACTTGAAGTGGGATATTTATATGCAGCCGGAGTAGGAAGCTGCTGTCCCACGTATAGGAGCCCATAAAACCCTTCTAACTTATAGGTATAAACACTCAATCAACATAGAAGATTGTTCCAGTACTGGAACAGTAATTTATACTGTGTCACACTTTCAATACGTATGCCAATCCTTCCATTTCCTTTCAGTATTCTCCACGTGAAGAGCAGAAAGAACCAAATACATCAGCTGCTCTTTTATGGGACCTGTATTCAAAACCTGTTAGTTTCTGTTACATTTTTTCTATATTTCAGTTATATTCTAATCAGAACTGAAGATCTTCTCAATATACTAGACATGCCAAAAAGTAGCCATGTAGTGGCTTTCTTTACTCTTTCACACGATATGGATGTCACTGATTAGGTCCTCGTTTACTGCCCATCCCTAATATAGTGAGCCCCCTTCTTGGGCCACTGCAGTCTGTGTGGTACAGTGCATACACAACGCTGTTAAAAAGGAGGCTCCAGGATTTTGGCCCAACAAAGAAAGAATGGCGATGTAGTTCCAAGTTAGGATGGTATATAGATTGCAGTGGAACTTGCCGGTAGGTCGGGTACCTATGCATCTGCTGTCCTTGCTCTCCTAGGTGGTAGATATTGTGGGTTTGGAAGGTGCTGTCGAAATAAAGCTAATGAATTGTTGCAATGTTGTACTTGGTACACACAGCTGTCACCATGGCAAATTTGGCTAAGACTGAATGACAAACTGCATTGAAAGTCATTTGACACACACAAAAGGCAATCCATTTTATTGAGACGTTAACACCCAAGTTTCAAAACTTCCCATTGAACGTACACATTAAAAATTCAAGGCACATGATCCTTGCCCCTCCATTTTTCTTGCCTGCAGTCTTACCGAATACGACTCAGAGAGATGCCTCAGACCTTTCTTCAAGTATTGGAAGTGTTTCTCTCTTTGAAGGACAGGTCTGGAAAACAGCACACATGGTTAAATCAACCAATGCAGATATTTGGCAACACTGAAATCAATACCTGTTGTACAATTAATATTTTTATCTATATATTCAAGCTGTATTACGACATGGAGAGAGACAACCAAACCAAATCTGCTTTTACCTGTATTCACAACAGTACAATTAAAGACCCCCCAATAATTACTCCGATGGTTCCTAACCAGACTCTTCAATAACCAATATCAATTGTGAATAATTAATTCCAAATACCGTTTGTTTTGTACATCAAAAGACTTTATTATTAAATACACAATTTTAGCAGAGGAAAACAATTAAACAAGATACACTGGGGTCTATGCTTTAAATCTGAAACATTTGTTTTTTCAGCACCCATTCACAGAAAAAGACAAAGACAGCTGATGGATAAATAAAAAGAAAACAACAAAACTGGCCGGATTACTTAAATGGCTTTGACAATGCATTAATTCACAGGCATATGTGTGGATCACAGTCACGTTCTCAGGCAGACATCAATACTTCTAACTCAGCTATCCACTCTCTGGGCTTCTGGAAGGTGGTGTAGCAGATTAGGTAGGAAGCTTTCAAATCTTCACGCTGTTCAAGAATTATCTCCCAGAAAAGACAGTTCAAAAAAATTCAATTCTGGTTCTGCCATGATCGACTCTTCCCGAGGCCTCAATTACCATTCAATAACTTTCATCTGCTTGAACATAGGCTCTCTCTTCCAGACTTCCTGGAACAAATTCCCAAGTACTGGCCTTGTCAATGATCAACTTCTGCTATCTGTTTAAACACAATGCTAAATGGGTTCCTACGTCTGTTGGAACCCCTTTTATCAAAGGCCAACTACAATTAGACTCCAGGCCCTGGCCTCAAACAAAGCTGGTTTAGTCTGTTCTTTTCCTTTTACTACAAGTTGTCCCAAAGTCCACAAGTCATTTCCAGCTCTCAATTCAAAACCATAAAAGAATTACAATAATGAAAAGTCAGCAAGGGGTTTAACTCTAAGGGTTCACAAACAGACACTTGGAGGCTGCAAAATTTGTATTTCTACAATTCTACGTCCAAAACCAGACGATGAATGGATGCATTGAATCTTCTGACACTTAGTTTTGCAAATCTTAAATATCTTGTACTTTGCTACTCATGTGAAATAAAGTTACAGTATATTGATATCCTGCCCATACACACTACATTTAAATCATAGCATAATGTTAGTTTATACCCTTCATATTACAGATCCAATACATTTAATGATTCAATTAATTAAAAAGTGAGACAACTAGTCATAAAATTCATGAAGGCTAGAAATTTAATATTTTCTCTTGGGATGTTTTATACATGAGCAGATTTTAGTGTATTCCTTTAAGGTTTCAGAAATAGAAGTCCCTAAACAGAATTTGCTCAATAATCATGAGTGAGGATGTCACAATTGAGAACAGAATTACATGTCATGGTTTCCACGGCCATCAGTTTTATTGCATTAGTTTCAAGGAACTCCGAAGTTTAATAGTATTTAATGCTTTAATCAGACAAGATAAGCTTGCACTGCAGCTGTTGAACTGCTCCAATAAACTACTTTGGACTTAGTTCAACCCACTGCAAATCTCAGACCTCAGCTGACAGCATCTAATTCTACACCAATGGTTACACATGAGCAACATAAGTGAACTCTGGCAAAGTACTATAATATATAGATGTTAAAGAATGCATAGGTCGGAGTTTTAAAAATCCCAAATGCAAATGTTTTGAGAGCAAGTCACAACCTGTATATCAAAGCTCAAACCATTTATCGCCTGAATAAGGAGAGCTTGAAAAATATACAAATCAACATACGTAAAGATTGGGTTTGTGGAAATAATTTTATCCCACCTCTCACACTGTGCCAGTTACGGCAGGTAGTACACTCTTAAAATCAACAACCAAATCTATGGCAGAAGTACTGTATTGGGAGTTCTATTGTAGGAAGGCTACTCGAAAATTACACCAAGTAGGAGATATTCTGATTCTGAAGAAATGCTTGAAAAACTAACATGCTTTACATTGATCTGAAAAGGTTAACGTGGATAAACAGATTTTTAAGATTATCACTGGCTCTGTGAAATTAATATCAGTAGATTCATCCTGAAGTAAAATGCAATCTGGGAAGGGTTATCATCCCAGGCCCTTCATGTGAAGTGCTAAGCTTCTGCTTTAAGTGGTGCTGTTGCTAACTTGGAATGAGGTTCATTGCTCTTTCAACCAAGGCTGTTGTCATTCTCAGAAACAAAGACGGAAGATTTTTCTCAAACTATTTCATTTTCAAGTTGCCTAAAGAAACTTGTTTTTAAAAGCATAATTGTGCATCCAGTTCACAGGTCACATAACATGCACTTGAATTCTACAATCTGATAGGCCAAGAAATCAAGAAACTGGAAGTATACATCCACAAAGTAAGTTATTAAAATATTCAGTTATGTGAGGGTTAACTCCCTATAACATTCAGTCTTAACATCCATTTACAGGATTTCGTTACATGGGAGCAGTAAATGTTCAAGTTGGGACAGTAGAGACTCAGTCTTCAGCAGTCATCGAATGGTACTTCCAAGTCCGCAAGCACTGAAACCTTAACAGACTAAATGAATGAAGTGAGGCTCATAAATGCAATTTACATGAGCCTTTGTTGAAGTATCACTTGAATATAAATCAATTTTTTCAACAAAGTTTCCAAAATAATATCCTTGAATTAATACAAGAAAAATTATAACAGACAAAACCTGTTCAGTTCTCAGCATTTCAGGATTACTGCTTCCCTCCCCAACACTATCCCTGAATTTAAACCGAGATTAGATGCGCATCATAATTAGGGAAATGAAGCTTTACCTTTATCAACCTGAACGCTGAGTTTTGGATAGATTCCCTTTTGGGAATGCAAGTCAGGTGCAGCCGAGTACAATTCGTCTCTATCTGATATTCATTTGGCTGGTGGGAATCAGATTGATGCCAACAGCAAGGGGTCTGATCTTATTCTGTCATGGATCAATTCAGTATCTGTTTCTTTGCCCTGCCCGAGGTGGAGATGGCAGCACCAGATGCCATTGGACAGAGGACTCTAGAAGAATCAGTTATCATCTACACTGAGGCAGAACGTTGACATTTATTGGCACAACATACAGCAGGAAAACTAGGGACCAGAAATCGTATTTGAAGAGCTTCCAGGTTCTTGTGGTGTGGTGCATTATTTGATAATTTTAAGCAACTAAGAAGAAATTTCAGACCACGAGTTGAAACTCAAACAATTCTCAGCACTTGATCAGTAATTAGAGGTAATATTAGTTGTCTATTTAAAACTAAGCACTGAGACAGGAAACACAAGACAATGATGGAGAAAAGTGAAACACAAACTCGATTCTCAGGAACCGAGAGCACCAAGCCTAGTTCATTGCATGAGTCATAGTGGCCTGTGACATAATTACCCAGTATTAGGTCAATGTCACTTATGGTTCAATCTGCAGCAACTTTGCAGTTTTAATAGAAACTGAAAAAGGTCAGAACTGTCAGGATTTCTGATTACAATGATAGCCTCTTCTACTTAATGGCTTTGTTTCTACTCTTGGACAACATAGGTAAGTGAATCATCAACAGCTTACTTGTGGCACAGCATCAATCATTAACCCAAGTATCTCCTGGTGGATTTATTACAATTTCTTTACAACCATAATTTAACACATTTTTTATTTAACTCAGTGCAGGGATAAAAATACATCTGGTCTAAAAGAAAATGCTGAACACTTTCGTCAGACAACATTGGTGCTGAAACCTGGCAAGATACAGCTTCTCAAGTTGGAATATTTAGACCTCAGACGAGAATCAGAGAGGACTTAATCACCTAACTTTTCATGCAATTAATAAAATTTCTCTTTCCTCTTCCACCCTTATGGAACCTTCACCTTATAGTCTTGTGTCACCATTCTGTAATCTCCTTCACTAGTGACTATAATTCAGTGGACTTCAATATGCCATGTTGACGGATTAATAAACTACAAACAGCAATACTACTCAGCTTGATACTGCCTTCAGCTGAACGCTATACAAATGAAATTTTTAAAATAGATGGTGCCGGAGAACACTTTCCTTTTCCAAACCTCAGGGTTACAAAAGGCTCTGCTGCCAGCTGACATCGGGGAGCATAACTCAACAGAATCTGGGAAATCAATCCTGAGAGGTTCTCAGTGTCAGGTGAACACAATCAGCAATTCATCAAGCATCTCTATATTTCTGTCAAAAAAGACATGAAGTTACACTTCGCATATTGCCAACCGATAACTGAAAATCCTAATTTTACATATAACCGTCATGAGGAATAAGATCTTTGCACTAAATGTGGGAGGAATTAGGGCAAAAATAAAGATTTCAACCTAAGAACTAAAATATTTGCTCTACATAAAGAATTCCCTCAAGGGCATGGGGGAAGTGGGTGGGGCAGGGGGGCGTGGGTGGGTGGTGGTGGTCTACCAATAGCAGGTGGATTGCAACAGTTCAAGAAGGCAGCTCACCACCACCCTCTCAAAAAGACAATAAAATCCTGGCCAGCCAGTGAAAATTACAAAATGACAAGAAAAACAAATTTGCACCAATTTCAGATTCATTTAAAATTAAACTAATAATTCTATGAGAAAAAGCATAGCTCTAAAATGAAGAATAAAACAAAAAGTCTGTAAATTGCCTCTTTGCCTCCACCTACTGAGAAACATTCTGAATTGACTTAGTCACAAACCCATTTCCCAGTGTGACATGCCACGTGGAACCAAGAACTGTAAAACCAGATGCTTTCCAATCTTCACTAATGCAGAACTTAAAGCTCATGTCAACAAGACTAAATGCTTACAGTATGGTAAGTTGAAGACATTTACTTCGCATCTAAGGATTATCCTAACACTGCAGCAACATTAAAGATGCTACCAAACAAAAAAAAAGTATTGCAAGATCAACTCTAACAGATTGTTATAGATAGCAATGAACTATAAATTAAGTATCTACACTTTAATAGTCATTTCTATAGTGTCCCATTTGTTGCTTTATGGTTGTGCCCTGCATCATTGAAACAATGAGTTTGTAGATACTCTGCAGCAACTTTGTTGAGAATTTCATTCTCCAGCGAAGAAAGGTAACACATTTTAGTTTAGAATCTTGGCAGAATTTACAAATTTCTACCAGCTGATTGGAAGATTTTAAAGCTTGCCAGCAGCCAGTGTTTTACCATCATTTAGAACTTAATTTTTGCAGCATATGAAATATGCAGTGAATTAACAGATTACCTGTCGCTTTAGTATCTCCACAATTAATCTTGAGAATTCTACTGGAATTATGGATCCTGAACAGGAAGACCTGCCCACCAGCCAAACGCAGGATAGGATATCTAGAGAAGTCTGGCACAAGGGACACAGCCTTGGAATTAGTAGGCCATTTACGTCAGAGATGAGGAGGAACTTTTTCATACTGACGATGTTGAGACTTTAGAATTCCTTCCCCAAGAGGTCATAAATCACACAACACAGAGTTATACTATATGTCATGTGATTTCTGACCTTGTCCACCCCAGTCCAACACCAGCACCTCCACATCATGGCTCCCAGAGAGGGCTTTAGAGTCCTCAGTCTTGGAGTTTATTGGTGATTTTCTAGATATTAAAATCACCGAGGAATTGGAGTTAGTGAAGGAAACTAATGTTGAGGGAGAAGATCAGCCATGAATTATTTGAAGGGCAAATCTAGGCAAAATGGGCAGCCCAGGGTCTCCCAGCGAGCAAGGAACAGATCCCGAGCTAACCGCCACACCCCTTCCAGCCCCAGCCCGGACTCTTGGGCTGGGCCGAGGCACCAGGTACGCAGCTTAGGCCCGGACTAGCATCGGCGGAAGGGACAGAAGGCAGACCAGTGGCATGATCTGGGAGAGCGCTGGATGGGGAACAGGGAGGTATGGAATCTGCTCATCCCCAAGCACAAGGCTCAAGCTCAGACATGGTGGTCGCTGAGTGGCAGGGGCAGAGGCCTGTAACCAAGAATCCGTGGCCCATTACACAGAGACTTCTGAATCCATTTCAGAGACGTGGCAGATGTCAAGCAGTCACTGGAGCAGCAGCAGCAGAACAGGGACAAGTAGAGAGAAAGACAGCAGTAAAATCTTGCATTTTATTCCGTGTTTCAAGGTGGCGCTGCAGCATGGCGACACCTTGTATAACATGCGAGAAAACACTTCACTGTATTTTTATATACACGTGACAATAAATCTAACTTGCCTATCAACCAATTATGCAAGCAGAGCTGAGAATAGCATAATAAAAATACTGTATTATCATTCCCAGGAAGAAATAACGCTCTGGAGATATTATAGAGACAGTACCATGTTAATTTACTGCACATTTCAAATGCTGCAAAAATTAAATTCTAAAATGACAGTAAAACAAATTGGAAGATTTAAATTTAAATGCATACTGTTCTGTAATTTGTGCTTTCTGCATTATTCATGTAGATTTTACCCGACTTGACAGATTCTCTCCAAGTACAGCGTGGGACGGTAGGTAGCAGTAAAAATCCCTGTAGTCCTAGGGGACCACAGCGCTTCTGTTATTAGAGAGAGATGACTGACGGTTTATTTGGAGGGTCACCACACCACAGCAAGGTTGAGAAAGTGACCTCATGGAACAATTGGAGTAAGGTTTAAAAAAAAAAGAAATCTCTTTTCATTCCAAGTTTTATGCAATTTGCTTTATTTATATTTGTGTGTAGAAGAGCCATGCAAAAAAAAAACTCAAAAAAAAGAAAGTTGGTTGTGCACATTGAGGAGGGCCAACTGTGTTCCCACACTATAAACGTTTGATGAAAGGCATGCTGCTCAAGGGGAGCATTTAAAGTACCATGCATGTCTATCTGGACAAGAAGGAGCTATTAGAGACTCACAACATGGTTTCTAGCAAATGAAGGTCAAATTTTATCAATCAACTCAATTTTTTTTTTTTTGAGAAGGTTCTGAGGTTGAATACTGACACTATGGCACAATGGGATAACTTTTAAGCTGACAGTCCAATGAATTGGAAACGAGATCCTGAGGTCAGTAAGTAATTGGGTATGCTCCTGTAGGCACAGGACTGTTGTTATTGGTGATGGTTCTGCATGGAGAATTTTTAATAGCAGAGTCCTGTGGGATAGACAATAGGATTGTTGTTTTTAACCAGCTATATTAACATTCTGAATGAAGATATTGCAGAAACCATCAGCAAGTTTGTTGAGAATCCAAGGCATGAAGCTGTGGCAAATTGAACAATACTGTTAGCACTGAGTTCAAGCTACAGCATAATACAAATTGGATCCTCTCAAATGCAAGTACTGGATATTAGAACAAAGAGGGGAAGGATTTGTAATCATCAGAAAGACAATTCAAAAGGGGCTGCATAAGATTACAGACTTGTCAGTTTCAAATGCCATCATGGAGATCAACTAAAACTGCAAATAAAACATGGGGATAAACTGACAGAACAGTGAAGCACTAATCTATAATGGCAAGTCTTTCGACTACAATTGGAGTAGCACGTGTCATTCCAAGCCCTGAGCTTGAAAACAGCACATATCTACCGGTGACAGAGCAGAGAATGGCAACAAAGATGAGCCTAAATGCCAGCGCATTACCTATAGAAGAAATAGCACCGAAGCTTAAGTTTACATTCACAATTCTCACTGATCAGCTGCACTGAATGCAATTCTTAATCCATGTTGGTGCACATAGTCACAAAAGCATCAATTGTGAAACAATGCTTTCGAAAACATTACATACACAGTAATAGCTCATGTAAACTAAGTTGAGGGAATCTGGCAAATCAGTCTTAGTAAGAACCGTTTGCAATGGCTTACCCTCCAGTAATGAAGCTAAACTATTTTAAAGCAGAGTTTTAAATAGTTTTGACACAGATCTAGATAAAAGACAGAGTTCTCACTTGAATATCTGACAACCTTAACACAATCAAATTTGATTTTCAAAACAACTTTCTTGGAACTTCTATGTCCAGGCCAAGAGAAATTGCAATGACCTCGACATATTATTTGAGAAATGTTTGATACAGTAGTATTTTCAATGTACTGCAAAGTCTGCACCTGGGGGAGAATTAATTCATGCGAACTACTAACAGGTACTTTGACACGACATGCACAGATGCCATCCAAAGCAAACTTGAAGCCAAAACAATGACACTCAACTATTTAGTGTTATACCATTTGAGCCAACTGACACCAGACAAAGTAGGAGGTTTCATTCTGCATAAGGTAAGCAAAATCGAAGCACACATTTGACATAAGGTTCTCTGAAAGGTATTCTGATGAATTGTAGTGACAATAAGTTTTGCTTCTCAGTTTAATCCAACGAGCATATACAGATTGCCTCACAACTATATTGAACAATCACAGACGTGTTGTGGTTTTGATTCATGTACTTACTGCAGCATGCTCCGATCAATTCTGAATGCTTCATATGCCTCTTCCACATTCAGTTCTACTGTCTTCTGTTACATGGAAACAGAAAAAGGTACATTTTTGCATTTTATTAAGATTAACATTGAATTCATAGAAAGTAGAATCATTTTTAAAAACTAAACATCAATGTCTCTCTATCTCACCAGCTCTTTTCAGAACAACAGGATGAGAGGAGAGGAGAGGAGAATTTGCTCAGGAAACAATTCACACTTTTGAATCCCGCTTAAAGATTTTGTTATGAACATATGGATTGCTCGTGAGCAAAACAAATTGCTGCTTTGAGAAAAGCAATGCCAAGTGCATTAAAAAGTCTCCTCCCAATTAGACATGACATTTAAAAATAATTTCAGAACAGGGTTTTATCTAAGAAAAAACTAGTCTATTAAAGATCAACAAAACCTTCACAAATCTCTAAAGGATTAGCTACCACTCATGATCCAGTGTACACGAGAAGTGCCACCACTGGTTCAGGCAACAATAAACACCATAACTTTTTCAGAAAACAATTTTCCAAAGGCAGCATTCTACACATACCAATTATTAATGAGACAGGCCATAGGCTCAAATTCCTTCAAGACAATTAGTAATTTGTCTCCTCTGACAAAAAGATGTACAAACTGAAAAAAAAATGCAGTCCAAGGGCCATGAATAAAGAAGATTTCTTTTTTAAAAAAAAAAAAAACAGCTGAAATGGTACACACCAAATATTGAATGCCAATGATTAGGATGCAGGCAGTCAGGCACACCATATCTGAAAATGCTATGATCTTTGCATGGATATAAATATGGGCTGGAGAATTCAAAGACATATAGCAAATGAAATTGTGTGAAGTGTGAATGATACATTATGGTAGGAAGAATGAGGAGAACCAATTAAAAAATAAAAAATACAATTCTAAAAAGGGCACAGGAGCAGATAGACCCCAGGGTTTACAAAGACAAATCACGGAAGGTAGCAGGGTAGGTTGAGAAAATTGTCAATAAGGATCCTGGGCTTTTTAAATAAAGGCATAGAGTACAAGAGCAAGGGTTGGTTGCAGGGGGTTGCATAGCAAACTTTCATAACAGAATGGCTTCAACTAGAAGACTGTGCCCAATTCTTGACACTACATTTTAGGAAAATGTGAAGGTATTAAGGAGGGTGTGGAAAAGATCTAATGAGAACGGCTGCAGGGATGAAGGACTTCAAAACATAGATAGGTCAGAGAAGCTCATGTTACTCCCCTTACAGAAAAGGCTGAGAGGACATCATGAGGTTTCTGGATAGAGTAGATAGGATAAAACAATACCCATTGGTAGAAGGATCCAGAACTACACGGCATCAATTTGCAGCAAATAACAAAAAAACCAGAGGCAGCAGAGAAAGGTATATTTTCTGCAAGCTGCAGTCAGGATCTGGAATGCATTGCCTGAAAACATGGTGAAGGTAAGTTGAACCATGGCTTTTGAATTGAAACTTATCTCAAAAAGAGAAAACAAAATTACAGGGCTACAAGGACACAACAGCAGAAGTGGTACTAGCTTAGTTCATTTGGCAGAGAGCTGGCAGTGGCTTGATAAATGGAAAGGCTCTATTCTACGCTGTGACCATTCTATCACTTTCTACATTAATGTGTTTAGGAAGCTCAGTTGGCTGTACAGGTTTGTGATGCAGAATGACACTCATAGGATGGATTCAATTCCCACACTAGCGGAGGTTACCTTGAAGGGCTCTAATTCTCAACCACCCCCTTGCCTGGGAATAGTGACCCTCAGGTTAAAACATCACCAGTCAGCTCCTCCTAATGACAGTGCAGTCCTGTGGTAACTTTACTTTTTACATACCATAAAAAAAAGAACAACTTTGAATGTGCCAGTCTGCATTTCAGAAAAACTGAAGTCTAGTTGAATCCATCTTTTAAAGGAAAATCTCTTAAAATTGTTAAGCAAGAAATAAATTTTAAACCAAAATTCAGTCTTGCACTTAAGCAAATGAGTAATAATTTGCTTTTAGTCATTACTAGTACAGAACTTCAAAATAGTTGAAAGAAAAGCCATGTTTTGTTGAAGCTTTATCATCTAAACTAATCAGGACATTTTGAAAGAAATGCCAAATGGAAAACATTATTTAGACCATGAGCAGAGTAGTTAACAAGTGGACTCCGTTGGTAAAGACATTGCCAAGCTTTGTTTAAATTTTACTCATGCAGATTTTGATTCATGGAGTGTGTGTGTCTCCAGCCAGACCAGCAAGTATTGCATATCCCTAATTGTTCAGGGTCAGTTAAGAGTCAACCAAATTGCTGTGGGATTGGAGTCACATGTAGGCCAGACCAGGTAAGGAAGACAAATTTCCTTCTCTAAAAGGACATGTGTGGCTCAGATGTGTTTTTACAACAGTCAACGGTGATTATAATTAGACTAGCTTTTTTTTTTTTAAATTCCAGTTTTTTTTGGCTGAATTCAAATTTCACCATCTACCATGCTTGGATTTGAACCCACGTTCCCAGAACAGTGACATGGGCTTATGGATTACTAGCCCACTGATACTATCAATGCTCCCCACTACACCAGCTCTGATCAAGGAATTGCCCAAAAAAAAACAAAAAACCACAATGTGGCCCTCATCAATTTTTGTTGATTCAGAAGTGTAGTGTGTGTACAGGTCTTTCTCACTGCAAAGAATAGGGCCTGCCATAGTAACGTTTCCAGCTTTCAGTACATGCATGTATACCACACCATGAGTCTGACTGACAATACTAAACTGGTTGTCAGTGTAATTCTTCACTCACTCAGGATTATTTAGCAAGTGTTGTTCAAATGCAGACAATACCCAACCAGCTCGTGGTTGCAAAAGGCAAAACGTGGTATCAAACATTAGATGTGACTCCACAAAAGGAGGAAAAGAAGATAGAGGGAAGTAGTGAGATTCAGGGAGGGAATTCAATGGAAAGCACAACTTCTTATGTTGAAGCACTTAAAAACAGAGCTCTTCGAGACACCAAAATTAAAAGCATGCAAACATCTCATAGGGTTAGTGACAGAAGTCAGGATGAGTGAGGTCGTGGAGTGATTTCAAAACAAGGATGAAAATTTTAGAAATCAAGATATTACTGAATGACCAATTTAAGTCAGCAAAACAGTGGGATGAATAGTGAATGAAACTTGGTTTGAGTTAGAATACAGGCAACCTAAAGTTTGGATGAGCTCAAATTTAAGGAGGGCAGAATGTGGAAGGCTGTCCAAGAGTGTGAGAGAATGGTTAGGTCTCAAAGTAAAAGGAAACTATAAAGATTTTGCCAAAAAGAGGTGGGGCAAGTGTGAATCAGACAGTGCTTTAGAGATGGAAATAGGTATACATATGTAGTTAAAAGTTCATTTCAGGTTAAAATACGAGTGGGTGTCATGAACAGTCTGGTTTAGCATCAGATTAATGGATGGTGTCAACAGCAAGACCGCAGAGATTGTGATATTGAATAAAATTATTAGCTGAGTCGTCAAGATTTAACTGGGGAAAAAAAAGTCTGCACATCCAGTACTGGGTGAATACAGAAAGATGGACGAGTCGAGGGAACTGTTATCAATATACATGTAGAAACTGGTAATTTATGTTCAGATAATGTTTGGATGATGAGGGGCTGCACGCAGATCAGAAATAGAAGCAATCCAAGTATAGTTCTGAAATGGACACTATGGTGCCAACTGGAATGGTGCAGAAGCAGGAAGAGACGATAATGCAGGAGATTCTCTGCTTACAATTAGATAAAGACGAGTGCGTTTGTGGGCAACATCACCACTAGGTGGAGCATCACGCACGCATGTGTAATATCACAATATTTATTCTGAAGTTTTCGGTGCAGTAAAAGGAGGATGGGGCAGGAAGTGCAGATGATATTTATGGATCAACCAGACTTTTAAAATAAGATCATAATGCATGGCAGTATATTTTAGATAATTGCTGCCTCAAAAGTTACACTAGTTCATCTGGGATTGGTGGCTATCAATAGGTCCACTGCACTAATACCAACAAATGCATAAATGAAAATCTGCTATTGCTTGTCCCTGCTTGTAACTTGCTTCAGCAATGCAACTTTACTCTCCTGGAAGTATCTCACTTCAATTATGGAGGCTTTATAGCTAAACAAAATGTGATAGAAACACAAGCAGAAATTGCTGGAGAAACTCAGCAGATCTGGCAGCATCTGTCAGATGATGAATCCAGCGACCCTACAAAACATGAACTGTTTTCTCTCCACAATGCAGCCAGACCTAAGTTTTCCAGCAATTTCTATTTTTACTTCAGATTTCCAGTATATGCAGTTCTTTACGTTATTGAAATGTTATGAATATTAGTATTTTCAGTCGGAACATTCACCACCACAGAAGTCGTTTGCAGAAGCATATGTAATATTGTTCATTCACAGATGGCTCTAGGTCACCACTGAATGGAACAAAGTAAATGCAGTCCCAGCCAAATGGTCTGACTGTGAACAGGTATTGAAGAAGGATGGTTTGATCAATTGTGTCAAGACCTGCAGGTAGGTCAAGTCAACTGAGCAGTGACAGCTTATCTTTGTCAGTATTAGCATATGTTTGTTCATATTTACGTGCACATGCTGCTTGTTTGTGTTAGTATATACACATGCATCCGTATATGTGTCTGGATGATTTGTACGAGAACAAATACCTCTGTACAACAGTACAATCTATTGCGTGTGTACATGGAGGGTGTGTCCCCCATGTACATATGTCCGATTGACTAAGTACTTGTGTGTTCACGTGTTTAACTGAGTGCATCTTTATAAATGCAAGTCTGCTTACATGCAAATTGTAGTGAATGTAATGAGGTGAGCCAGCTGGACCTCAGAATAGGAGTTCCCTGATTGGAGCTATTAATCTGGTCCAATCAGAGAGCCCTGGCTGACATAGATTTGGGGAGTGCCAGAGGAATTGCCACTTTGAAAGCTAACCCTGAAGAGGCAGTACTAAAGTGAAGGAATGTTCACGTGTAAATATAGTGTTACTTGGTAATGGGATACCGGCCTCTAAG